AACCGGTCGTAAGTCGAGGACTACTCAACTGGTGCAGCACCGTTTGCAGAATGGGACTTTTGGCAGGCTCAGCAGGGCAGAGGCAGCCTGGACAATTCCTATTGGCTTTGGAAAGCCAATAGAATTAGACTCTATTCAAGAGAGTCTATTCTATTGGCTTTCAAAAGCCAATAGAATAAAAGGGAGTAGCACAGCTAAGGCAAAAGAGGAAAAAATGGCGGACTGTGTTGTTTGGCGACCCCCGTGAAATGGTCGTTCGACCCCAAATGGGGGTCCCGACCCACAGGTTAAGAACCACTGTCCTAGGGGATGATCACTTGACTATTAGCCAATCGTGTGCAGCAGCAGCCAAAAAAGCTAATACAATCCTGGGTGGTATAAACAAAGGCACAGAATCAAGAACACGTGAAGTATTAGTACCGCTTTATAAAACTCTAATAAGACCACAGCTGGAATACTGCAGCCAATTTTGGCCACCACATCACAAAAAAAATGTTGAGAGTCTGGGAAAAAATTCAGAGAAGAGTAACGAAGATGATCAAAAGCCTGGAAACTAAAACATAACAGTACAAAGAATGGCTGCAGGACTTGGGTCTGGCTAGTCTAAAGAAAAAACAAACAAACAGAGGAGACATGATAGCAGTCTTCCAGTATTTGAGGGGCTGCCCCAAAGAAGAGGCAGTCAAGCTATTCTCCAAAGCGCCTAAAGGCAGGACAAGAAACAATGGATAGAAACTAATCAAGGAGAGAAGCAACCTGGAACTAAGGAGAAACTTCCTGACAGTGAGAACAATGGAACCAGTGGAACAACCTGCCTCCAGAAGCAGTGAATGCTCCAACACTGGAAGTTTTTAAGAAGAAATTGGACAGCCATCTGTCCGAAATGGTATAGGGTTTCCTGCCTGAGCAGGGGGTTGGACTAGATGACCTTCAAGGTCCCTTCCAACTTTATCATTATTATTATTGAGAAACTTCCTGACAGTGAGGAGAATTAACCAATGGAACAGCTTGCCTCCAGAAATTGTGGGCACTCCATCACTGGAGATTTTTAAGAAGAGACTAGACAGTCAGTTGTCTTGAGATGGTATAGGGGGCAGGGGGCTGGACTAGAAGACCTCCAAGGTCCCTTCCAGCTCTATTCTATTCTATTCAGTATATCCCTGAGTCGCACAAGGAGGAGGTCCCCCCCCCCTAAACCACCTGGCTATCCGCTCCAGAAACCGGGACTCCCAGGGGTGCTTGAATCCCACCGAACCCCAAACCAAACCTTGCATTTTGCACACCAGGGAAGACGCGAAGCTAAATTGAAATATTTCCTTTTATTTATTTAACAAACACTATCATCTTGAATTCTGAAGAATGTGTGTTGAAAGAAAGAAAGAAAAAATTCCTTTGCTTTACAAACAAAAACAAAACAAAAAAGGAGGGGGGGATAACGAGAAGAAGCTGAAGGAAGAAGGGGGAGTAAGTTTTTCTTTAAAAAAATTAAACAACCAACAACGTATGTACAGACTGAAAAACTGGCTGAGCTAAGGAGGGAAGGAGAGAGAGAGAGAGAGAGAGAAATAAAACAGAAAAAAAGGGGGGGGGAATCGGGTTCAGAGGGAGAAACCATATGGAAGAAGCTTTAACGCACAATTAAATTAGAATACAAATACTGACAGAAGAGAATTCCTACGCCTTACTCTTGGTGGCCGCCGTAGAAGCAGATTGCAATCTATACAAGAAAAATTCAGTTCAGGCCTTCTTCCCCCTGGGCCAGAACAACAGTGTGTGATGTGTATTTTAAAACATAGCAAACATATTGCTTAACTTTTGTGAGATGTTTTGACTGTAAAAATATTAGCTGGTGGGGAGCCAGGGAAGGAAGGACAATGGAGCCTAATGGAAAGGGACAGGAAGGTCCGAGAAAGGACTGGGTCCCCCCCCCCCTTCCTTCATCGGTCTTCCTCATCTGGACTTTGGGAAGGAAGGAAGGAAGGGAGGGAGGGAGGAAGGGAGGGAGGGAGGGTGTGAGGGTAGGAAGAAGGGAAGGGAAGGGAGGAAAAAAAGGTGGGAGGGAGGAAGGAAAGAAAAAGATGGGAGGGAGGGGAAGGAAGGAAGGAAAGAAGGGTGGGAGGGAGGGAAAAAGGTGGGAGGGAGGAAGGAAAGGGAAGGGAGGGAAGGAAAGAAAAGGTGGGAGGGAAGAGAAGGGAAGGAAGGAAATAAGGGTGGGAGGGAAGGGAAGGAAGGAAAAAAAGGTGGGAGGGAGAAAGGAAAGGGAAGGGAGGGAAGGAAAGAAAAAGGGTGGGAGGGAGGGAAGAGAAGGGAAGGAAGGAAGGAAGGAAGGAAAGAAGGGTGGGAGGGAGGGAAGGGAAGGAAGGATGGGAGGAAGGGAAGGGAAGGAAGGAAAAAAAGGTGGGAGGGAGGAAGGAAAGGGAAGGGAGGGAAGGAAAGAAAAGGTGGGAGGGAAGAGAAGGGAAGGAAGGAAATAAGGGTGGGAGGGAAGGGAAGGAAGGAAAAAAAGGTGGGAGGGAGAAAGGAAAGGGAAGGGAGGGAAGGAAAGAAAAAGGGTGGGAGGGAGGGAAGAGAAGGGAAGGAAGGAAGGAAGGAAGGAAAGAAGGGTGGGAGGGAGGGAAGGGAAGGAAGGATGGGAGGAAGGGAAGGGAAGGAAGGAAAAAAAGGTGGGAGGGAGGAAGGAAAGGGAAGGGAGGGAAGGAAAGAAAAAAGGGTGGGAGGGAGGGAAGAGAAGGGAAGGAAGGAAAGAAAGAAAAAAGGGTGGGAGGGAGGGAAGGGAAGAGAAGGGAAGGGAAGGAAGGAAGGAAGGGTGGAAGGAAAGGGTCTTTAGGCTTGGTGCTGCATATCCCAGGGCTCTTTCAGAGTTCCTCAGGGGGGTTAACTCAACTGGGGTGGGGGGTGGGAGATAGCCCAAGGTGGGGGGGGGAGGGCAGGAAGACCTTGCAAGATGTCCTCTCTCCGTCCCGTTTAGAGCATGCTTTAAAAAAAACCCGATGCATTTCTCCTACCAAAATGCATCTCTTGGGGGGGGGGGAATTAAAACCAAGTGAGACAATACACGTTTTTCCGGGGGGGGGAGGAGGAAGAGGAGGAGACAGCCCTCCACAAAGGAACGGGGAGAAGGTGGACACCGAATTAAAAAAACCCGAAGCCCCCCCCCCGTCCCTGGTCCAGAACCCATTGCAGCTGGGCAGGAGAGAGAGACAGACAGACCAAGCGTGGCATCCTGTAAAACTGGACCACCCAAAAAAAGGGGGGGGGAACTGCACAAAAGGGGGGACAGAGGCCAGACCCAAATCATTGCCCAATTCAGTTTTACACACACACACACACCCCGCCGGCCACAGCTCGGCCATCCTCTGTCCACCCACCATCCTGCACCCCCCCCCTTTGCTAGAGGAGTAAATGGGGACAGCCTTTGTTTGGGGGGGGGGACAATTTGAGGGAGGGGTAGGAGGAGGAGAAGGGAGGACGTCTCCAATGGTGCCCAAATACACAAGGGGACACACACACACACACAAGGAGGATCAAAGCAGCTGGAAGTCCAGAGGCAATTTAAAAAAACAAACAAACCAAAGACAGTCACTGGCATGCCGCTCCCCCCCACCCCATTCTCCCCCCCCCCGCCCCCAGCTCGGCTCTGCGGTGTGTGTTTTTTTTCCCCCGTGACTGACCTACACCTGAATTTTTTTTTTTTTATTTCTATTTATTTTTAAAACCGAGGTAGTTGGCTAGAAACCGAAAACAAAAAAGAAAGAGAGAGAGAGAGAGAGAGAGAGAGAAAGAGAAGAGAGAGTTCTTCCACCTGGCATTTCCGTCCGGAAGGCCCACCTCGCTTGTCCATCCTCGCCCTTGTTTCATCTCTTCCAAAACACACCAAGTTATTGCACTTCCAAAAAAAACAAAACAAAACCCCAAACAAACAAACAAAACAATGACAACAGGTTTGTGGTTCGGATCCTTCCCTCGTTCGGCAACCCCCATAGCCCTCATTTCCCCCCCACCCCACCCGCAAACCCCGGTCTCCACTCCACTCTCCTTCTGCGCTTTCCACCCATCCCCTTAATGGCTTCTGTTTCAACTTTAAAATTAAATTAAAAAAAAAAAATAAAGTTGCTAGAATTCTACAAAAGTTTTCGTTAAGAGGCTTAAAAATGAATTGCGGTATTTTTTTTTCTTCTTCTTTACATGAGGTTCTCGCCGGGGAAGGGGGGGGGGAGAAAGGGGGACCGCCCGTGTGGAAGCATCCTTGGTAGTTTCTCCCCCCACCCCCCCAAATTCCTGTCTTTCCATCTCCTTTCGGGTCCCACCCACCCCGTTACCTTCCATCCCTGGTTTTTAAAAAACCTTTCCAGCTGGCTAAGGAGGAGAAAAAGCAACACCCCCCCACCAAGTCCAGCGGGGTGTGGGGGTTTTGGGGGGAGAGCAAAAAGAGAGACACAGAGAGAGAGAGAGAGAGAGAGAGATCAGGAATGGCTGTCGAACAAGGCCAATGGAACAAAACGAACAAAAAAAAAGACAAAAAAAAAAAAACCCCGTGACTTTGGACACCCGTGAAAAGTCCTCGCCAACTGACAGAGAACGCAATCAGTTCTCACCAGCCGGCGGCAGGATGAAACCACAAAGCGAAGGTCGGTGGGGAGGACAACGGGCGCTCGGGAAGAACAAAAAGTCCAGTGGCAATTCCCAAGGGGCTGCGTGCAGGACAGGCGCGCCCCCCCCACCCCACCCCACCCCGGCCACAGTCCGAAGGCGGTTTAAAAGCTGAACTGAAGGCGGAGAGACGAAAAGACGTTAAGTTGCGAGGTGGTGGTGGTGGTGGTGGGTCTTTCGGCCATGCATCAGCGCTCATCCAGATATGGTGGTGGTGGGGTTTTCAGTAAAATGAAGGTTTTTTTTTTCTCTTAACTTGGAATAATCGGGAAGTCGAAGGATGATTCAGAGGACAAGATGGAGGGCTGGGCGGGCGGGAGGGTGGGGGGGGGGATAAGATACCCCCCCCAACCCGTCCCGTTATCTGAGTAAGCACCGAGGAATTCAAGCTTTGCCACGTGGAGGTGATGCGGCGGCCCCGCCGGCGGTCAGCAGGCGGAGGCGAGGCCGTTCTTGTACAGGCGAGGCACTTTCCTCTTGGGTCCTCCCCCGTTGTCGTCTTCCTCCTCCTCCTCCTCTTCGTCGTCTTCCGAGGACGAGCTGTCCAGCGTCAGATCCACCACGTCGGCTGGGATCTTGCCGTTCTCCAGGCTGGGGGCAGGCGGGGGCGCCCCGTTGACGTCGGACGTGCCCCCTGGGAAGGGGCGAGAAGGAAGCCAACGTTGATACAGGCAGTCCTCAACTTACAACCCTCTCGCTTAGTGACCGTTCACTCGGTCAAAAGCGACCGATGACCTTTTTTCACACTTAATGACCGTCCCAGAGTCCCCGGGGCCATGTGATCAAAATTCAGATACTCGGCAACTGGTTTGTATTTATGACGGCCACCACGTCCCTGGGGGGGGGGGTCTGACAAACAAAGCCAGTGGGGTAAGCCAGATTCACTTAATGACCGTATTGCTAACTTAATCAATGCGGCTACTCACTGAACGACTGGGGCAAGCAAGATCGTTAAGATGGGGCAAAATTCACTTAACAAATGTCTTCACTTAGCGACAGAAATTTTGGGCTCACCTGCGGTTGTAAATCGAGGACTATCTTGCCCACTTTAAGATGGGTGGACTTCAATTCCCAGAATTCTGGGAGTTGAAGTCCAGCCGTCCGAACACCACGGCTGGCTGAGGAATTCTGGGAGTTGAAGTCCAGCCATCTTAAACTGGCCAAACTTGAGGAACACTGGCTTACACGCTAGTGTAAAAGAGACTGGTCCACTGCACACATTATTTAAAAAAAAACAACACACTAGCCCAGTGGTTCTCAACCTTTTTAATGCCGCGACCCCCAACCGGTCGTAAGTCGAGGACTACTCAACCGGTCGTAAGTCGAGGACTACTCAACTGGTGCAGCACCATTTGCAGAATGGGACTTTTGGCGGGCTCAGCAGGGCAGAGACAGCCTGGACAATTCCTATTGGCTTTTGAAAGCCAATAGAATTAGACTCTATTCAAGAGAGTCTATTCTATTGGCTTTCAAAAGCCAATAGAATAAAATGGAGTAGCACAGCTAAGGAAAAGGGGAAAAAAATGGCGGACTGCGTTGTTTGGCGACCCCCGTGAAATGGTCGTTCGACCCCAAATGGGGTCCCGACCCACAGGTTGAGAACCGCTGCACTAGCCTAACATTATAACTGACAAACCTCAGAGGGATGAGTTCACACAACAAGCTCCCTGGCTTAGTGGTGATGCCTGGTGACACCCAAAGGCGGTTATCCTCAAGTGGTTTAAATCTGATTTAAAGCGTTGCTCTGCTTTTTTTTCCTACAAAACTATGGGATAGCCCTGTTGCTCTTTGTTGCTTCCAAACTTCTCTCAAGTGTCCATCTCGGTTTCTCCCCCAAAAAAGTGATTCAGACAATCCTTGATAAGACTGGCAGCGTAACTTGGCAGACTAGAACCTAGAACCGTGGTGGTGAACCTATGGCACGGGTGCCAGAGGCGGCACTCAGAGCCCTCTCTGTGGGCACACGCTCCATCGCCCCAGTCCTAGGCCTTCAGCTGGGTTTTATAAACCTTTTTTGCTTTAGGCCTCCGCCGCCGTGTGCAAAAAAAAAAAAAAAAAGTTCAATCAGTCAATTTCAACCTCATGGGGAAAAAAAAGTTCTTGCAAAGTTGGAATTGATGGATTGAACGTTTTAGTCCCACCTAGAAGATGACTTGTTTAGTGACCTTTCCTGACTCTTTACTTCTCCACAACATTACAATTTGAGTTTGCTGTTATTTTGGCTTACTAAGTGAAATCTCGCTTTTAGGGACCTCCAAAGACCCAATGGAAAACAGGAAAAAGTAGCAAGAACTCCAAAAGTTTTTTTTTTTTTTTTCTGGAGTCAAGAAGCAACGGATGGAAACTAATCAAGGAGAGAAGCAACCTAGAACTAAGGAGAAACTTCCTGACAGTCAGAACATTTAACCAGTGGAACAACCTGCCTCCAGAAGCTGTGAATGCTCCAACACTGGAAGTTTTTAAGAAGAGACTGGACAGACATTTGTCTCAAATGGGATAGGGTTTCCTGCCTGATCAGAGGGTTGGACTAAATGACCTCCAAGATCCTTTCCTATTTATTTATTTATTTATTTATTATTATGGATCATCGCACAGTCAGCCAGATGTTCAGACTGGATTTGGCATTTTGTCTACCTATCGAGTCCTTACCCAGGACCTGGGATAGGCCGATGTGGATGTTTGATGGTATTACAGGTATCGTCGCAGGATGGAAGCAGTTCCTAATAAGGCCGCCTTTTGCAATTGACTAATAGCGAATTTGTCAATGCCAATGGTGTTCAAGTGGTGCTCCAGTTGTTTTGGGATTGCACCCAAGGAGCCTATCACTATTGGTACTACTCTTGCTTGCTTTTGCCACAGTCTTTCTATTTCTATTTGTAGGTCTTTGTATTTTGTTATCTTCTCCAGTTCTTTCTTGTCTATTCTGCTGTCTCCAGGCACTGCCACGTCCACTATCCAGACTTTCATTATTATTATTATTATTATTATTATTATTATTATTATTATTATTATTATTGGACTTACTTAGGGGTGTTGTGGAAACTCTCTGGGGTGGAAGTAAAAATGGGACGCAGCTCCCAATTTTACCTGCTTGGAGAAACATCCTTAAATTACCACTATTTGTGGATTAAGATAGGCAGTAACACCAAAACTGAAACCCTTGACCCACCACAATCTCATCCCCATGTCTCTGTGAAGTTCTCACAACCAGAAACACAACCAAGAACTCTGAAACCTCTTCCTCATCTCAGCTTGAAGTACAATGGAAGTCACCCATCCATCTATCCTTCCACCCATCCCTTCTTGTCCCTTCATCCATCCATCCACCACCCACCCACCCCTTCCTGTCCCTTCATCCATCCACCCATCCATCCTTCCACCCATCCATCCATCCTTACATCATCCCTTCCTGTCCCACCTATCCACCCATGCCTTCCTGTCCCTTCATTCATTCATACTTCCACCCATGCCTTCCTGTCCCTTCATCCACCCACCCGCCCATCCATCCATCCATCCATCCATCCCTCCATCCCTTCCTGTCCCTTCAACCACCCACCCACTCATCTTCATCCATCCATCCTCCATCCATCTATCCATCCATCCATCCATCCATCCATCCATCCATCCATCCATCCACCCCTTCCTGTCCCTTCATCCATCTACCCATCCATCCAACTTCATCCATCCATCCATCCATCCATCCATCCATCCACCCACCCACACACCATCCATCCATCCTCCACTTCTTCTGCAGATAGAATAAAAGAGTTGGAAGGGACCTTGGAGGTCTAGTCCAGCTCCTTGCTCAAACAGTCAAGCCTACACCATTTCAGACAAGTGGCTGTCCAGTATCTTCTTAAAAACCTCCAGTGATGGAGCGCCCACAACTTCTGAAGGCAGGTTGTTCCAGTGATTAATTGTTCAGTAATTGTTAGAAGGTGGATGCAAATGCCCATGGTACCAAGGACATAGTGTCAAGCTTGACGTGCACACACTATATTGCCACCCTTACTGCTTCTTAGCTTGCCAACACACTAGAGGGGGAGGGGAGGAGAAAAATGGAATGCAGACTCCAGACAACAAGAAATCTAACCATGTGAACCAAGGACGTTTCCGCAGGTGTTTACCAACCCACAGAGACACTTTCTCATAACAAGCTTTTGACACTTGGTTGGATAATGCACGAACACGGGGAGGGAGAATTGTATGTTTTGATTATGGCGGGAATAACCAGAGCATGTTTCGCTTTCAACTGTGTCAAAATGATGTACTCAATAAAGTTTGGCATAAAGAGATCGGATCATCTCGTTGGTGCTCACTTGGTTGGGCATGTTAGTGGGAACCTTGACGCATAGGTTTGGACAAGACCACACAAGTTGGAATCAACTAGAGGAGATGACTTTGGTGGTCCTTTGGCCTTCCAGGTTTGCGTAGAGTCCACAGCCACCATGACTTTTTAAGACCTACCCGTGGATCCGCCCACGACGAGTATCGGACACTGAGGGCTGTAGCTCCTCTCCTTCTCGGCTTTGATCGGGCGCCAGGAGCCGTCCACCAAATATTCGATCTCATCGGCATCCTCACATTCCTTTAAGATCTTCGACAGGAGCCTACGGGGGGATGGAGAACCCAACTGGTGATTTCAGACTCCGGAAACTCCAGGGCCGTGTTCTACCTTCCCGGGAATGGCTTCCATCTCAGAGGGGTTTCAGGAAATGGTCAGGACCATACCTGAAGGCAGAGAGATCACCAAACCCCAGGCTCACCAGATACCAGGGCATCCGATTGCCGCTCCAACCAAAACCAGGAGCCAACTTCATTTGAATCGGTCATTACAATTTCAAATTCCTGCAGAGGAATACTAAAGATCTTGGGAGAACGTCAAGGGACAGATGTGGCAATTCCCCAGGGCACCGGTCCCCGACCTTTCTGGCTCCAGGGACCGGTTTTGGAAGAAAAAATGTTCTTCCGTGGACCGGGGGGGAAGGAGAACGGTTTTCCGTGCGCAACCTAGCTCCTGTGCATGCGTAAATGAAGCTTCGTTCACTCACCCACCGCTTACATGGACCAATTCCTAACAGGCCACAGACTAGTACCAGTCCGCAGACGGGAGGTTGAGGACCCCTGCTCTAGGTGGGCTTTTTTGGGAAGGGAAAATAGCCAGAAAGGACTATTACATGACTCTATTATGAAGATTTTGTCTCCTCGCCAATGAGGTGATCCTAAAGTGGGTTGGGAAGACACGTGGCTTGCTGTGTTAATGTTGGTGGGAATGTTCTTGAGGGCTCCTGGGCTGTTGTTGACGGTTTAATGTCTTGAGTTGGTAGTTATCAATTCCTGGTAAACTATACCCCAACCAAGAAATTACAGGCTCAGACAAAACAGCAAACAACAGCCTAATCATGAAGCTACCAATAACACCCCCACCAACAGTGACAGGTTCAGCTACTTGTATATAATAGAGAGCAACCCCCCCTTCCTTCTAGCACTGATAACGTTATCTAGTTGGGTCATGAAACGTCTGCCAGAAAACCATCAAGCTCAGAGAGCACCAAGGACCCCACAGTCCTCCTCCTCCTCCTCCCTTCTAGCACTGATGATGTTACCTAATTGGGTCATGAGACGTCTGCCAGAAAACCATCAAGCTCAGAGAGCACCAAGGACCACGGTCCTCCTCCACACACCCGTCCCTTGTAGCACTGATAATGTTACTGTCAACGCTGCAAATATTGTATATTCTTGCTTTTGACAATATGCAGAACTGTCTGGTATTTATGGGGTTAATACAGAGCAGGAGGGGGGTTGGGGGTAAAGCCCGGGAAAGAAAGAGGAAGGAAACCTTTGACCTTCAGACTAATTGGATAATGTGATATATGACAGACTAATTTAGGGAGGGAACATGCTGATAGTTGAACTGCTCAGAGGAAGTGAACTTAGTTCTTAGCATCCCTCCGTTATGCCTGTGCCGACATTTTGCAACAATAAAAGACTTTTAGGAAAATAATTGCCTGGAAGTTCTTTGAAGTGTTTCATTAGCCGGAACCATAACAGTTACCTAATTGGATCATGAAATGTCTGCCAGAAAACCACCCAGCTCAGAGAGCACCAAAGACCCCACGGTCCTCCCCCCTCCCCCTCCTCCACAACCCCACTTCACAGAAAACGACTAAGCTCAGAGAGCACCAAGGACCCCATAGTCCTCTTCCTTTCCTCCACAAATCCCACTCCATTCTAGGACTCATGATGTTACCTAGCTGGGTCGTGAAACGTCTGCCAGAAAACCACCCAGCTCAGACAGCAATAGGGACTGCTATGTTTCTCGGCTCTCCTGGGGTGTCCTGCAAAGGGGTGACCTGCTTTGTGCTGGCAAGTAACTGACTCAACTAACCCATCGATCATCAGCTGATCATACGTGGCTGGTTTGTCACACACCGGACACATCCAGGTGGGTTTCTTCTCGTTCATCTGCAGGTAGAAAACCGCATCGAAGCACTGCAGGTGGGCACACGTTTCCGCCCGACACGGGACCGACAGGCGCATCTTTACCAGCTGGGGAAGAGGGGAAAAAAAAAACCCGCATGAAAGCCACAGGCAAAAAAAAAAATGGATCTAGAATAGATCCTGAACAAATATAGAACCACAGAGTTTGGAGGCATCTTCAAGGTCTTCCAGTCCAAACCCTTGCTCAAGCAGGAGACCCTAGACCAGAGTTCCCCAATGTTTCCAGCTTTGCAGACTGGTGGTGGTGGGGAAACCCCTCATGGCCGATTAGTGGGCCATGGCCCATGGGTTGGGGACTCCTGCCCTGTACCATTCTGGACAAGTGGCTGTCCAGTCTCTTCTTAAAAACTTCCAGTGATGGAGCACCCACAATATCTAGAGGCAAGCTGTTCCATTGGTTGGTGGGTGGGTGGTGGAAGGGAGGGACATTAATTGCAGGGAGGCAGGGATGGATGCAGTGCTGGTTGGTTGGTTGGTTGATTGGTTGGTTGGAGGGATGGATGGATGGATGGATGGGTGGAGAGTTGTTTGGCTGGTTGGAGGGAGGGAGGAATGGATGGGAGAATTGGTTGGTTGGAGGGATGGGTGAAGGTTGGTTGGAGGGGGGAGGGATGGATGGATGGATGGATAGATGGATGGATGGAGAGTTGGTTAGTTGGAGGAAATGAGGGAGGGAGGGATGGGTGGGTGAAGGTTGGTTGATTGGTTGGAGCGAGGGAGGAATGGATATATGGATGGATGGAGAGTTGGTTGGTTGGTTGTTTGGTTGGAGGGAGGAAGGGAGGGATGGATAGATGGATGGATGGATGGATGGTTGGTTGGTTGGTTGGAGGGATGGAGAGAGGGTGGATGGAAGGGTGGAGAATTGGTTGGAGGAAGGGATGGATTGATAGATGGATGGAGAGTAGGTTGGAGGGAGGAAGGGAGGGATGGGTGGAGGTTGGGAGGGAAGGAGAGAGGGAGAAAGCAAGGGATGGATGGATGGGTGGAGAGTTGGTTGGAAGGAGAGAGGGGTAGTTGGAGAGTTGGTTGGTTGGAGGGATGGAAGGAGGGAGGGAGGAATGGATGGGAGAATTGGTTGGTTGGAGGGATGGGTGGAGAATTGGTTGGTTGGAGGGGGGAGGGAGGAATGGATGGATGGATGGAGAGTTGGTTAGTTGAAGAAAATGAGGGCGGGAGGGATGGATGGGTGAAGGTTGGTTGATTGGTTGGAGCAAGGGAGGAATGGATAGATGGATGGATGGAGAGTTGGTTGGTTGGAGGGAGGGAGGGAGGGAGGGAGGGAGGGATGGATGGAAAGTTGGTTGGTTGGTTGGAGTGAGGGAGGGAGGAAGGGATGGATGGATGGATGGATGGTTGGCTGGAGGGTGGATGGAAGGGTGGAGAATTGGTTGGAGGAAGGAATGGATGGATGGATGGGTGGGTGGAGAGTTGGTTGGAGGGAGGGAGGGATGGGTGGAGGTTGGGAGGGAGAGAGAGGGGTAGTTGGAGAGTTGGTTGGTTGGAGGGACGGAAGGAGGGAGGGAGGGAGGAAGGGATGGGAGAATTGGTTGGTTGGTTGGAGGGAGGGAGGGTGGATGGATGGAAGGAAGTGGAGAATTGGTTGGTTGGAGGAAGGAATGGATGGATGGAGAGTTGGCTAGTTGGAGGGAGGGAGGGAGGGAAGGGTAGAGGTTGGGAGGGATGGAGAGAGAGAAAGCAAGGGATGGATGGATGGATGGAGAGTTGGTTGGAGGGAGAGAGGGATAGTTGGAGAGTTGGTTGGTTGGAGGGACGAAAGGAGGGAGGGAGGAATAGATGGGAGAATTGGTTGGTTGGTTGGTTGGAGGGATGGATGGAGAGTTGGTTAGTTGGAGGAAATGAGGGAGGGAGGGATAGATGGGTGAAGGTTGGTTGGTTGGTTGGAGTGAGGGAGGAAGGGATGGAGGGAGTGAGAGGTGGATGGATGGATGGATGGATGGATGGATGGGTGAAGAGTTGGAGGGAGGGATGGAAGGAGGGAGGGAGGAATGGATGGAGAATTGGTTGGTTGGTTGGTGGGATGGAGGGAGAGTTGGTTAGTTGGTTGGTTGGTTGACTGGACAGATGGACGGACGGTTGGTTGATTGGACAGACGGACAGAGGGAGGGATGTGCTTCCACAAGGGGGAGAAAAGGGATACTTGGCCCTCCAGCCAGTAAGTTGGAGCAGAAGTTTAAAAAGCGGTTAAGAAACTCAGAGGCTGGATTCAGAGGCTCAAAAGTGTCATGGCAGCCTCTGACCACCCACCAAAACAGGTTCCCACTGACCAGACGCCTATGGCTGTCGGCTGGCAGATGCACCCTTGAGTTTTCTCTATCCAGAAGGGTCTTTCGTTGAAGTTCTGCTTTGCAGCACACAATGCTTACCGGGCATATTAAAGAGACTCGGACGCCGGTGGTAGCAATCTCACTCTCTGGATCTAGCCGCAACTTCTCTTTGACTGCAGGGTTGGGGAAGGGGGGGTTGAGGGGTGTGGAGGACGAAGACAGCATCAGAACCAAGAATCAGAGACTGCTGAGGTTTGGCTGCCTCAATTGCCTCAAAGATCTAAGACAGCGGTTCTCAACCTGTGGGTTGGGACCCCATTTGGGGTCGAATGACCATTTCACGGGGGTCGCCAAACAACGCAGTCCGCCATTTCCCCCCCCCTTTTCCTTAGCTGTGCTACTCCCTTTTATTCTATTGGCTAGTATGTTTAAATGTGTGTTGTGTATGTGTACACTTGGAGAGCAAGCAACTAAATTTCAATTTTAATGGGTGCCATTGTGCCCACAGTAAAAAATGACAATAAAGGTTATGTGTTGTGCTGTGCTGTATTGTACTGAGAGAGAGAGAGAGAGAGAGAGAGAGAGAGAGAGAGAGAGAGAGAGAGAGAGAGAGAGAGAGAGAGAGAGAGAGAGACGGAATGAGAATTGAACCAACTCACCGAGGGCCTTGCACAATTCAGGGTGTTTAATGCCGATGGTTTTTAATCGCTGCAACAACTCTGCCGATGTGGTCTGTTTCACCAGGAAGAGGCCCACCGAGTAGCTCTGTAAAGAACAGGGAGAACAAAAAGTGTGTACCGCCCTAAGCACAATTCTCTAAAATACAGGGGAGTCCTTGACTTACGACCACAACTGTGACCAGAATTTATGTGGATCAGTAAGAAATTCGTTAAATGGGTTTCGCCCCATTTTTTTTATGGCTTTTCTTGCCACGTTCGTCAAGCGAATCACCGTGGTTCAATTGGGAACCCGGGTTGTTAAGTGAATCTGGCTTCACCACTGAGGTTTCATGGCCCAACTAGGTAACATCATCAGTGCTAGAAGGGGATGGGGGAGGAGGAGGAGGAGCACAGTGACTGTGGGGTCCTTGGCGCTCTCTGAACTTGTTGACTTTCTTACAGATGTTTCATGGCCCAACTAGGTAACATCATCAGGGCTAGAAGGGGATGGGGGAGCAGGAGCAGGAGGAGGAGGAGGAGGAGAAGCACAGTGACTGTGGGGTCCTTGGTGCTCTCTGAACTTGTTGACTTTCTTGCAGATGTTCCATGGCCCAACTGGGTAACATCATCAGGGCTAGAAGGGGATGGAGGAGGAGGAGGAGGAGGAGGAGGAGGAGGAGGAGGAGGAGGAGGAGGAGGAGGAGAAGAAGAAGAACAATGGCTGTGGGGTCCTTGGTGCTCTCTGAACTTGTTGACTTCCTTGCAGATGTTCCATGACCCAACTGGGTAACATCATCAGGGCTAGTGTCACTCTAAAAGAAGTCCCTCGCCATGGCTGCAACGCCCAGCGGAACACATCACAGGTACCAGAAAACCAGCAAGGTCCGCCTCTCCCAGGCCCGAGGCGGTGTCAAAGACATTTGGAAAAGCGAATCCCCGCCCCACCCTGGGCCAGTTGCTCCAACCCCTGAAAGGCAGGCGAGGCCTGCTGGTGCCGAAAGCAGGGAAAAAACCAGAGGCGATGGCTGCTGGCTTCCCCTCCCCCTGCCCCTCCCTCCTGCCAGCCGGCACGATACTCACCTTCCCGTAATTGCCCCAGATGATGGTGATGCGGTTGGTGGCGGAAGACAGGTACATGAGATGAGTAAGGTTGATGGGACGACAAGGCCTCTTCGGCTCCACCCCGGGCTTGTTGGAAGGGTAATAGCCCTGGAAAGAGAGAGAAAGAGAGAGAGAAAGGAGCTGTCAGAAGAGCACTGAAGAATCTGCTCTCCGTTGGTTGAGGATGATGAAGCCACATCTCAACGATGGGAAGACTGACGTCAGACGCCGTAAAGCAGGGGTCCCCTATTTCTGGGCTGGTGGCCCAGAGCGAAAGGGCCCGAGAGGCAGGCACCTTTAAGGGCACAAACGCAAAGCGAACAGGGCCGCAAGCGTGCGTGGGCCACAAACAGGGCCGCGAGCACCCATGCAACGCTCGAGCCCGCGCAACACTCACGGTGACACGAGCACCCACGTGACGCTCAAAATAGCACCTGAGTGACACTTGTGGCGATACTGTGCCCGCGCGATACACCGACGCTAGTTCCTGCACACCGCTTACGCTGACGCTAGTGCCTGCGTGATGCTTACGCTGACGCTAGTGCCTACGTGATGCTTATGCCGACGCTAGTGCCTGCGTGATACTTATGACGCTACTGCCTGTGTGATGCTTACGCCGACACTAGTGCCTGCGTGATGCTTATGATGATGCTAGTGCCTGTGTGATCCTTACGACGCTAGTGCCTGTGTGACGCTTATGCCGACGCTAGTGCCTACGTGATACTTACGTCAACGCTAGTGCCTGCGTGATGCTTATGACGATGCTAGTGCCTGTGTGACGCTTACGACGCTAGTGCCTGTGTGACGCTTATGCCGACGCTAGTGCTTGTGTGATGCTTACGCCGATGCTAGTGCCTGCGTGATGCTTATGACGCTAGTGCCTGTGTGACGCTTACGACGCTAGTGCCTGTGTGACGCTTATGCCGACGCTAGTGCCTGTGTGATGCTTACGCCGATGCTAGTTCCTGCACGACGCTTACGCCGACGCTAGTGCCTGCGTAATGCTTACACCAACGCCAGTGCCTGTGCAATGCTTACGTCGACGCTAGTGCCTGTGTGATGCTTGCGGCGATGCTAGCCCTCACACGAGGCTCATGTGACAGTAACGCAAGTGGGGAGATTGACTGCGCGCACACAAGTGTGTGCTCTGGCCCACTACTGGGCCGCTACCCACAGGTTGGAGACCCCTGCCACAAGGAAAACCGCATGGTGCCAGAGGACTGTCAAGCAGGGGGAAATCAGAACGTCCAGGCCGTTCAAAGTAAATATCACCGTTTATTGCAAACTTAAACTCTCTACAATAGAGGTCCTCAACCCCCGGGCCACGGCCCATTACCGGGCCCTAGATTATTTGCAACTGGGCCACGCAAGCAGAGGGCCGGTGTGCATGCACAAGCACCGCTTGACTTGCGTGAGAGGCAGGCCTACGCTCGCACCTTGCACATTGCAGCTCACGTGGCTGAGGAGGGAGAGGGAAACCAGGCCGCGTGAGTGGCAGGCTGGCATGCACGCAGTTCATCAAGTAAAGCTGCATGCGCGTGGACGCCAGCCCACCACTTGCGTGAGTCGAGCTGCGTGCGCACACAGACCGACTACTCACACAGCCCTGTTCCCCTCTCACCCCAGCAGGCCGCTAAGCTGCAAAGATTGGGGACCACTGCTCTACAAGAATCTGAACTACTAACAGTCAAAGCAAATTGGCAGTAGATAAGAGCCAATGGAATTCAAGGTTGGCTGGCCTTAGATCCCTTGTGGGCACAAAGGGATTCCAGACTCATGACATGTTTGACCCCTCCATTCCTTGGGTTCAGCCTGGTCATCTCCTACAAGGACCCTCCAACCTACACAGCTTGCAGTCCTCAGGACAAGCTCTGTGGGTACGAGAAGTCCTTGACTTACGACCACAATTGAGCCCCACATTTCCCTCGCTAAGCCAGACAATTGCTAAGTGAATTTGGCTCCATTTTATGAACTATTTGCCAGACCTGTTAAGCTAGTGGTTCTCAACCATTTTAATGCCATGACCCCCAACTGGTCATAAGTCGAGGACTACTCAACCGGTTGTAAGTCGAGGACTACTCAACTTTGCAGAATGGGACTTTTGGCAGGCTCAGCAGGGCAGAGACAGCCTGGACAATTCCTATTGGCTTTTGAAAGCTAATAGAATTAGACTTTATTCAAGAGAGTCTATTCTATTGGCTTTCAAAAGCCAATAGAATAAAAGGGAGTAGCACAGCTAAGGAAAAGGGGGGGGAATGGCAGACTGCGTTGTTTGGTGACCCCCGTGAAATGGTCGTTCGACCCCAAATGGGGTCCCGACCCACAGGTGGAGAACCACTGTGTTAAGCGAATCACTGCAGTTAAATTAGTAACATCACAGTTGTGAGTCTAGCTTCCCAACTTTGCTTGTCGGAAGGTTATAAACAGGTGGTCACATGACCCCAGGGCACTGCGACCGTCATAAATACACGCCAGTTGCCAAGTGTCTGAATTTTGATCACGTGACCACAGGAACGGCACAACGGTCGTAAGTGTGAAAATTGGTCATAAATCACTTTTTTTCAGTGCTGTTGTAATTTCGGTCACTAAGTGAATGGCGTTAAGTTGAGGACTAGCAGGTTGGGCAAAGGGAGATGGGTCTGGCTGCCTGTCAAAGCTAAGCCCGGCTGAAACAGACGTGCTCCACCGATTCTCCTGGTGAACGTCCAAGGATGACTTACCGGAACCGAACAATAACTGTGGTTGACTTTCACGGCGATATTTGGGGGGTATTGATCTTCCTGAGGACAGCTGGTGTCTGTGTAGCAGATTCTGAGAAAGGAAGAGATGGGAGAGAACCATAAACATTAGGAATACGTATACGCATACATGTTATGTGTACGGTATATGGGCGGGAAGTCTTCAGCTTACGAGCACCGTTGAGCCCCAATGTTCTGTTGCTAAGTGAGACATTTGCTAAGTACGTTTTGCCCCACTTTACGACTTTCCTTGCCACAGTTGTTCAGGGAATCACTGCAGTTCTTAAATTAATGGCACGGTGGTTAAGTGTATCTGGCCTTCTCTTTTAACGACAAACACACAAAACGCATTCCTTTCGCAAAGCTTGGGAGGCTGTTTGCCGAGGATCTCAACTCACGCCCCGGCCTTGTTTAAATCCCTTCCCCCTCCACCCCATCCTTGTTTTTTTTTTGGGGGGGGGGAAGAGGGCTAATTGGCACCTTAGCTTACCTGAGGACGACCTGGACTGATCTCACGCCCGGCTGCAACTCCCTGTCAAAACGACAAGAGCACACAAGTCAACAAGACCAGAAAAACCACAGACGATTTAGGCAGATGGAAAACAAAAAAAACACAAAACAAGTCACCAAAGAAGCAGGCAACTGACTTAATAATAATAATAATAGTAAAGTTGGAAGGGACCTTGGAAGTCATCTAGTCCAACCCCCTGCTCAGGCAGGAAACCCTATACCAGTGGTTCTCAACCTGTGGGTCGGGACCCCATTTGGGGTCGAACGACCATTTCACGGGGGTCGCCAAACAACGCAGTCCGCCATTTTTTTCCCCTTCCCCTTAGCTGTGCTACTCCCTTTTATTCTATTGGCTTTTGAAAGCCAATAGAATAGACTCTCTTGAATAGAGTCTAACTCTATTGGCTTTCAAAAGCCAACAGGAATTGTCCAGGCTGTCTCTGCCCTGCTGAGCCCACCAAAAGTCCCATTCTGCAAATGGTGCTGCACCAGATGAGTAGTCCTTGACTTACGACTGGTTGAGTAGTCCTCGACTTACGACCGGTAGGGGGTCGCGGCATTAAAAAGGTTGAGAACCACTGCCCTATTCCATTTTGGATTTAGGTTCTCTTGAACTGACAACTCTTCAGTCGTGGCCTCGGTCCCGGATCAGAGGCCTCCCCCCCCTCCTCTGCGGAAGGACAGATGAACCGTCGCCCCAAAACCTGTAATTTGGAGGCTGTGTAATTAACTCAAACAGGTTTGGACAGAAGAAAGAACTGAGCTGGCCCTAAAGTGACTCATAAGACAGACAGTCGGCTGGCCCGCAACAAAAGCCCGAAGGAGACTCAAATAGGGGAGAGATTGCACTCTGGCATCCACAAAACTGTTCCCCCCCCCCTTTTTTTTTTTTTAAGTTTTATTATTTTGGTTAGAAAAAATGTTAGAGAAACATATAGACTATAAACCTGATTTTTTTTTTTTGAACTAGGTATAATGCCAGAAAAGCTTGATAAGCAAAGTACGTGTTTGATCCTACATGTGATAACAGCGGCGAGAATTATATCTGCACAATATTGGGAGAAGGAAGAAATACCACTAGGAGAAGAAATAATCAAAAATAACATTAGACTGTTCGGAAATGGGACAGACTTACTTTAAGGCTGAAAGAAAAAAAGAAGAAAAAGAATATTTTCAAACTTGGGACCTATTTTATCAATGGTTAGAGCAGTGGTTCTCAACCTGTGGGTCAGGACCCCATTTGGGGCCGAACGACCATTTCACGGGGGTGGCCAAACAACGCAGTCCGCCATTTTTCCCCCCTTTTCCTTAGCTGTGCTACTCCCTTTTATTCTATCGGCTTTTGAAAGCCAATAGAATGGACTCTCTTGAATAGAGTCTAATTCTATTGGCTTTCAAAAGCCAATAGGAATTGTCCAGGCTGTCTCTGCCCTGCTGAGCCCGCCAAAAGTCCCATTCTGCAAACGGTGCTGCACCAGTTGAGTAGTCCTCGACTTACGACCGGTTGAGTACTCCTCGACTTACGACCGGTTGGGGGTCGCGGCATTAAAAAGGTTGAGAACCACTGGGTTAGAGAAAAGATTTAGGGATTAGACATTGAATTTGTATTAGTGAATCAGATGCTCAGACGACACGTTTTTGCTGAATGATTATTATTGAAATCTGTTAAACAAAAACAAGACTGTGCTTGCTGGGGTTGCTAGAATTCCAAGCTCCATCAGCCACAGCCCACTGCCAAACAGCAGGGGGAGGAGGAGAGAGGATAGTTCCCTGCAACTGACGAGCCACACCCTCGGTGGAGAAGTGTATCTCACCGACAGGCAGTCCTTGAGTTACGGCCATCGAGCCCGCTAAGTCGGGCCAGTTGGTAAGCAGGCCATCACATGCCCGTGCCCTATTTTATGTCCCTTTTCTGTGGCAGTCGCTAAGTGAACAGGGCAAGCCAATGCTGTGCTCGTTAAGCGAATCCATGGTTTGCGAGGGGCAGGTTTTTTTTGCTGGAAACCATCACATGACTTTCTTTCCTTCTTTCTTTCTCTTTCTTCCATCCTTCCTTCTCTCTCCTTCCCTCCACCCTTTCCTCCTTCCTTCCTTTCCTTCTTTCCTTTTCTCTCTCCTTCCTTCCTTCCATCCTTTTTCTTCTTCTTTCCTTCCATCCTTCCTTCTCTTTCTTCCTTCCTTCTTCTTTCTCTCTCCTTCCTTTCTTCCTTTTTCTTTCCTTTTTTCTTCCTTCCTTCCCTCCTCTCCTTCCCTCCACCCTTTCCTCCTTCCTTCCTTTCTTTCCTTCTTTCTTTTCTCTCCTTCCTTCCTTCCATCCTTCCTTCTCTCCTTCCTTCCTTCCATCCATCCTTCCTTCTTTCTTCTCTCTCCTTCCTTTCTTCCTTTTTCTTCCTTCTTTCTCTTCCTTCCTTCCTTCCCTCCACCCTTTCCTTCTTTCCTTCCTTCCTTCCTTTCCTTTTTTCTCTTCCTTTCCTTCTATCCATCCTTCCTTCTCTTCTTCATTCCTTTCTTCCTTCTCTCCTTTTTCTTCCTTCCTTCCTTCCATCCTTCCTTCTCTTTCATTCTTTCTTTCCTTCCTTCTTCTGTCCTTCCCTCCCTCCATCCTTCCTTCTGTCTCCTTCATTCCTTCCTTCCTCTCTCCTTTCTTCCACTTCCTTCCTTCCTTCCTTTTTCTTTCTCTTCCTTCTTCTCTCCCTCACTGACTCTTTCAAAACTTCCAAATCCAGGTTGTAAATACCTTTCTGGAGAGGCTCCATTGTCGAGTGGTTGCTAAGCAACCAGTCGTAAGTCCAGGCCTACCTGTGTGATTGCTGAGGGACGCTGATGCAACCATTAGTAATTGATCCCTTAGGGCAGTGTTTCCCAAACTTGACCATTTTAAGGCATGAGGACTTCAACTCCCAGAATTCCACAGCCAGCAACGCTGGCTGTGGAATTCTGGGAGTTGAAGTCCTCATGCCTTAAAATGGTCAAGTTTGGGAAACACTGCCTTAGGGACACCAACCAGAGAGAAACCATTCACGCTCCCATTTTCCTGGAGCAATACTGAGGTGGAGGGAGACACTTTTTAATCTGGGGCAAAGATGCCATTTTTAAAACAAGATTAAGACTTTCGACTGCTGGACTGGCTAGTCGGCCACAAGGCACGCCCAGACATGAGAATTTTTCATTTCATTTCTTCATTTTTACCAGGCGTCGCTCCAAAGAGGCTTCAATCTGGCCCAGGAACTCGCGAGGACATTTACCTGGAATTCCTGATCAGCTCGACCTGGCGTGGCGTCAGGGCAAACACGCACGGACTCTCCTGAAGTTTCTCGTTGTTCTGCGGGACTGGACAGGGAGGAAGGCAAAAAGATTGTCAGGGGAGCGATCCGAAGGGAGACAGGCAGCTGCCAAATTGTCTCGTCAAAAAGTCACTGCCAGTCACTGAGGACACGAGACCAAGGAAGGACTGGCGGGAAGCCCTCCTGGAAGTGGAAGCAAGAAAATGGATTAGAGGTTCCTATAGAAACACCTGCCCTTCAGAGGGACTCCCCAAGACAAGAAAACTATCACCGGTCGAAGAGAGTAATAATAATAAAGTGGGAAGGGACCTTGGAGGTCATCTAGGCCAACCCAGGGGGATCTCTGGTGGGTGGGGCGGTGGGCAGGCGGCTTTTCCTGCAGGGTGAGGCAAGGGGTAGGGCGGGGGGGGCCATTGTTGCAGGGCAAGGCAAGGCGAGGTGGGGGCGGCTGCTGCCTGACACCATCGGCCCCCACACACAGAGGATAGCGAGCGCATGGGGGCATGCTCTACCATCGCTACTCCAGCTTGCTAGCTGGCTGCTTCGCCTTCTTTGTGCTGGGTGGGTCTGTGGTTCCGGGCGCCAGCAGCCTAATGGACCTGTGCAAGATGCTGGCAGCAGCAGCGGGTGTGCCCACAGAGGGGGCTCTGAGTGCCGCCTTTGGCACGCTTGCCATAGGTTCGCCACCACTATTCTATTCTATTCTATTCTATTCTATTCTATTCTATTCTATTCTATTCTATTCTATTCTATTCTATTCTATTCTGTTCTAAAGTTTTTAAAAAGAGACTGGACAGTCACTTGTATGAAATAGTATAGGGTCTCTTGCAGGAGCAAGGGGATGGACTAGAAGCCCTCAAGGTCCCTTTCAAGTCTGATTCTATTCTATTCTATTCTATTCTATTCTATTCTATTCTATTCTATTCTTCCATTCCCTATTCTATTCTATTCTTTCATTCCCTATTCTATTCTATTCTATTCTATTCTATTCTATTCTATTAATTCTATTCTATTCTTCCATTTCCTATTCTATTCTTTTCTATTCTATTCTATTCTATTAATTCTATTCTATTCTTCCATTCCCTATTCTATTCTTTTCTATTCTATCATTCCCTATTCTATTCTATTCTACTAATTCTATTCTACTCTATTCTATATTCTACTCTACTCTATTCTATTCTATTCTATTAATTCTATTCTATTCTATTCTATTAATTTTATTCTACTCTATTCTATTCTATTAATTCTATTCTATTCTATTCTATTCTATTCTATTCTATTCTATTAATTCTATTCTACTCTATTCTACTCTATTAATTCTATTCTATTTAATTCTATTCTACTCTATTTTATATTCTACTCTATTCTATTCTATTCTATTCTGTTCTGTTCTGTTCTGTTCTGTTCTATTCTCAGTGTGCAAGGAGGCTGCTCTCCCATCTGGAGAAAATATTCAAACCTTAAAAATGCACTGGGAACACAAATGGTGCTGCACGTTATTTGCCACCAGTTTTTCATCGGCTGTTTCCGTGCCCAGAGACTCCCCTGAGTGGCTGGAGAGATAAGAAGAAAATCAATAGAGCGGAGTAGAAAAAGATTCCAAAGGACTGCAAATGGAAGGGAAGCGGCTGGCTGAATCAGCCACTTAAGTGGGGGGGGGGTTCATCATTTCTTTTTAATTTTTTAATGGGTCTTCCTTTCCACCACACCCTTCCTGCGCGCAGACCAGCACAAGAGAAGAGAACTGAAGGCCCAAACATGGCGATCCGTTTCTCATCTAGGGATCTCTGCGTCCAACGTCCGTTCGGTTTTAGATCTTCCAAAAGTGTTCTTTCTTTGTGCCTTTACAGGTAGTCCTCGCCTTCCGACCACAACTGAGCCCAAGTGTCCACGGAGATGCTCACTCATCCAGCTCATGGTTCCCAAGGGTGCTTTTTCAACTGGACTTCCTTGTTTTTCCTTTGAAGACGTTTCGCTTCTCCTCCAGGAGGCTTCTTCAGCTCTGACCAGATGGTGGGGAAGGATTTATACTCCTTGCAGACAGCTGGTCATTTGCCTTCTTTTAGAGCAGGGGTCTTCCAACTTGGCCCTTGGATGACTTGTGGACTTCAACTCCCAGAATTCCTCAGTCAGGCACGCATGCCTGGCTGAGGAATTCTGGGAGTTGAAGTCCACAAGTCATCCAAGGGCCAAGTTGGAAGACCCCTGGTCTGGATCCAAGCCCGCAGTTTCATCAAAATGGCCGACTGAGGAATTCTGGGAGTTGAAGTCCACCAGTCATCAAGGGCCAAGTTGGAAGACCCCTGGTCTGGATCCAAGCCCGCAGTTTCATCAAAATGGCCGACTGAGGAATTCTGGGAGTTGAAGTCCACAAGTCATCAGAGGGCCAAGTTTGAAGACCCCTGGTCTGAATCCAAGCCGGCAGTTTCATCAAAATGGCCGACTGAGGAATTCTGGGAGTTGAAGTCCACCAGTCATCAGAGGGCCAAGTTGGAAGACCCCTGGTCTGGATCCAAGCCAGCAGTTTCATCAAAATGGCCGACTGAGGAATTCTGGGAGTTGAAGTCCACAAGTCATCAAAGGGCCAAGTTGGAAGAGCCCTTTTTTAGAGAGTCCGTTGAGGCCACCTGGAGGTTTATCTGTGTCCTCGTGCTCAGCGGAGTGGTGCAAATGGGCGCGGAGCCTTCTTGGAGCTGTGGAAAGGGCTAGTCATATAAATAGAAATCCTTCCATTTCCCCCACCATCCAGTCAGAGCTGAAGAAGCTTCTGGGAGGAGAAGAGAAACGTCTTCAAAGGAAAAACAAGACAGTCCAGCTGCCTCTTGGAAAAAGCACCTTGGGGACAATTGAAGCCAAACTTTATGTTGTTAAGTGAGACACAGGTTGAGCGAGTTTTGCCCTATTTTACGACCTTTGTAGCCACCGTTGTTAAAACAGAACCATTTGTTAAGTCAGAAACACGGTGGTGAAGGGGAAACAGTTTCCCCATTGACTTTGCTTATCGGACGGTCGCAAAAGCGGATCGCGTGAGCCCGGGACACTGAGACCGTCGTAAATACGAACCGGTTGCCAAGCAACCGATTTTTGATCCCGTGACCACGGGGATGTTGCAAGGGTTGTGTGAAAAATGGTCCTCAGTCACTTTTTTTCAGTGCCGTTGTAACTTTGAACAGTCACTAAATGAACTGTTGTAAGTCAAGGACTACCTGTACAGCAGTGGCCAAAATGGTAGAAACCTTTTGGGACAAGTGTACAGTAGAAATGCCACCTTTGGTTAAGTTCCCACCCGTTTTTCTTCTAATTTCTTTAGAACTGGAGCCTTGTTCACTTAACAATTCTATTTTACATCGTTTTCTGGTCAGCTCTTTGCACCGTTACTTTAATTTTATTACGTTTTACAAGCTCACTAAATGAAAGAACACACACACAAAAAAACCCCAACCAACTTGATAGCGATTACATAACACGCTGACAAACGTCCCCCTCTCGGCTTCAATACAGGACATCAATCACTGAATCCTACTGTGATCTGATTGGCTCATTGCCAAAACAAGATGACACCTGATTGGCTCTCTAAACACTCATGCTCATTGGCTACCATCAGATGAAGGAAAGCTACCTGAGATCAACCTAAGCAAGCTGTGCTTCCTTTTTCTGGTTATTTGGCTATAACGTTTCATTGAATACAGTACAGATAATTGAACAAACTATGTTGCATTACATTCTTGATTCAATTATCTATCCATTGATATATAATTTTATGGTACTACTCTCAAAAAAATGGTGTTCTTAGCCATCAAACCTCGAAAATACACTTTTTCCCAAAAGTCTCCCCAATTTTGGCCACTATTGTATTTCCTAAGACCTTTTTTGCAGGATATCCGTGCAACCGGTAACCATCCTAGTGTCTGGCAAGAAAGAGACTTTGATGTTGACTGGATAATAATAATAATAATAAAGTTGGAAGGGACCTTGGAGGTCATCTAGTCCAACCCCCCGCTCCAGGCAGGAAACCCTATCCCATTTCAGACAAATGGCTGTCCAGTCTCTTCTTAAAGACTTCCAGTGTTGGAGCATTCACCGCTTCTGGAGGCAGGTTGTTCCACTGGTTAATTGTTCTCACTGTCAGGAAGTTTCTCCTTAGTTCTAGCTTGCTTCTCTCCTTGATGTGTTTCCATGCTGCTTTCTATGTTACAACTGACTAAATGCAGATTCCCTACTTCAGTCCACAGCCCTCCTTTTTGCCTTTTATGTCCAGTCTTGTCTGCATTCTCAAAAACAAGAGCGCTATTTCTTTTTTTCAGCTCTGAGCTGCCTTAAGACGGGGATCCCCAACCTGCGGGCCACAGCCCACCACCGATCCGTGGCTTCTTTGCAACCGGACCTGTGTAAGCGGCTGGCTGCTGCGTGTACACAACCCCACTCAGGTGAACATCGCGGGCACGGGGCCCACTCACCCTCGGGGGCTCACTCGCATCACTGATGTCAACGCTGCAAATATTGTATATTCTTGCTTTTGACAATATGCAGAATTGTCTGGTAATTATGGGGTTAATACAGAGCAGAAGGGGGGGTTGGGGGTAAAGCCCGGGAAAGAAAGAGGAAGAAAACATTTGACCTTCACACTAATTGGGTAGTGTGAGATATGAGGGCTAATTTAGGGAGGGAACATGCTGAGAATTTAACTGCTCAGAGGAAGAGAACTTAGATCCTAGCATCCCTCCGTTGTGCCTGTGCCGACATTTTGTAACAATAAAAGACTTTTAGGAAAATCAATGCCTGGAAGTTCTTTGGAATGTTTCATTAGCCGGAACCACAACAACTGATGCTCGTGGCGATGCGGCCACTCAAGGCCCCACTTGCACAAGCGCTCGTGTGTGCGCACACGGCCTGCCCCTCCCACAAATCCATCCCCTCTCCCTTCAACCCCTCTGGGCCGCCAACCCGGAAAGAGCCGAGGTGGCGCAGCAGTTAGAGTGCAGTCCTGCAGGCCACTTTAGCTGACTGTGTTCAGCAGGTCAGCGGTTCAAATCTCACCGGCTCAAG